CACAAGGGGCTAAAACAAACTTGCCTGTCTTCTAATGACTGCTGATAATAAATATGTAATATTTTATCTCTGATCCATGATATTCTCCTTAAATCAGACCTACTCAGGTCTGGGTTATTCACAGCTTTCTTGTAGATGTGACCCAATCCAAGTGTTGCTTCTTTACGGATTTTCCACTGCAATACAAATACATATTGATGCAATGTTAACACACAGGTAAAAGAACACTTGCATGTCAGAGTCATCACTTTTTATTTTGGTTTGTAGTTACGTAAATTAGTAATTTGTCACACAATGAACAAATTTGACAGAGGTTCACTTAAAGTAGATATGACATATCAAAGCAATCAGCCCAACTTTTTTCAAGAAAATGTTGTTTCGGGCAAAAGTTGATGGAGATGTGGGACAAATTACACAAAGACGCAGAAACACATACAGACACAAACATAGTGGAACTATAACTACCTTGCCCTTTAGGAACAAATTTAATCACTATACTTTGTGTTATATTTTGTAATATTTAAACTTTGAAGTATTGAGCATTTTGGGTGTATGACATGCCTCACGTTGCTAATAACCATGTAGGTGTTTGAAGCATACAGTTTACAATAGATGCTAGCTGAAGTGGGTGTTCCAAAAATTCAACTTATAACCAACAGGGGGTGAATCATTTATGGAGATAGGGTTGTGATGTTGATGGCTTACACTGTTGAATTTGCCCTTATGAGATTCTGAACTGGTTTGGGAGGTGGAAGTCAGTGGGAAGTGTAGGGGTAGTTGAGATTGGTAGGGGAAGATCTGTTTAAATGAGGGGTATTCCAACATTTGTTCTTTCTCAGCTGCTGGAACAAGATGGTTACATTTACTAAGAACTTTGAGACGTATGCGTGATAAACAAAAACTATAGTGATGAAAAGTCATTGTCAATGACACGTCCCCGTTATATCAAACACATGTCACCACATCTGGGTCTGCATTATTTCAAGTGCTATGACAAAGTGTATTCACATTTTCTATAGCCAAGGGTATTCATTAGGTCAACCAATTATGCTAAAATTTATATTCACATTTACAGGTTATTTGTGGCTAACATATAAATCCCACAGGAAAATGTAAAATAAAAAAAAAAAACTTTAATGTCTCCACAGCCAAGAGAGGTGTAATGACTTAAACAAAATCTATCTTTCTAATGAGAGTGTATAAATGCCCCCACCATTCAACCAACTTTATATTACCCATCACATGCCTAGTTATTTAAGCACTGCTTTGAACATGGCCCTGCAATCATTAAATGTTAAAACATTTGTTTTAAGAAACTGCAGAATTGAACACAAGAAGAAAGAAAGAATTGGAAAACATTTCTCACTATTTTGAAACTTTGCTAGGAACAGAGGAGTTTTATAGATGTTTCACTCAGACCTAATTTATTTTTAGGATCCAGAGTTAAGTTTCAACCTTGACTTACCCACTGAACTTCACATCACAGTTTCACACAAATGACTTACTGAACTTTACATGTTGCAGGTTAAATACAAAAGTTGATTTACCGGTATGCAAAGCATTAAAATGACAAATAAATCTAGGAAAATTTCAGAGCAGAGAGTTTATGGAGAGAGTTAAAGAGCTGCTAGCTTGTTCCTATGCTAAAGTAATGTAGCCATGTACATGTTAAGCTACATTATGCATTTCCACAGATGTCTCCATTGAAAAGTGCCTATTACTAACCGCACCCCCAATTCAACAAGACTGTGACTTACTATATTGTTTCAACCAGCTGGTCCAAAACAGCATTGTTACTAATCCTATTCATTTGTAAAATATTCACACCTATTTATTGTTCAGTGATGATAAGATGTCAGACACGCAGTGCAACTGCTTTTGTTCTGGCAGCAACCTTTGTCAATACTTCACATGAATACGTCCGTGTTTCAATCGCACTACATCATCGGTAAACCTCTTGCGTGTTGCGTTCACCATGAGGTTGCTGAACTGTCATATTTAAATGAGCTATGATAATTAGAACATGTTGGCACCATCCAGCATTTTGATTGGTTAATTAGCAACTTGACCTATCCGGTCAATAAACAGTCTCATGTGGATTCAAAAAACATGGCGGATATCGTAACGCTTAGAACGTTTACATGTGACCGAAATCATTCGCTTAAGATGAAACTAAGTTGAATTTTACTTGTATTTCATAACAATTCAACAAATTAATTTTTCTTGCGTTATTATAATCACTACTGAGTAATAATCAACAATTTCAACACTTCGAAAACAAGTACCGTACTTCCCTGAGTATAAGCCCAGGGGCATGAACATGTAAAATCGGGAAAATTAAGGGGTGGGCTTATACTAGAGAACCACCTCAGAAAAGATATTGGGGGGGGGGGGGGGTCAAAATGTAACCATCTTCTTGTGGTAAGGCAAACATTGTTAAGATGGAGGGTATTCAATACAGAGCTCTGAAATTTGTGTACAATGATTTTCAGTCCAGCTATCAAACTTTGTTGGAACGTGCTGGACTACAAACACTAGAGATGTCCAGGAATCGTGACATACTTGTTGAAGTTTATATAAGTGTGAACAAACTCTCCCCATCTTTTATGTGGGATTTATACAAGGAGAAAAATGTAATGTACAATTTAAGAAATTCTCATCAATTACAGTTAAAACGACCAAGGACTAAACGCTATGGACTGGAATCATTGTCTTATTATGGTGCTAAAATGTGGAACTCGCTTCCTAATCAAATGAAGGAGTGCAAAGATTTGTATTCTTTTAAGCAAATGGTGTCATTGTGGTCCAAATCATTTTAAGATATTTAATTGATTATTTGTGAAATCTTACTGTTGTTTTTCTCTGTGTTTGATGTTTGAAATTTTTGCTTTTGTTTGATGTAATTTTTAGTAGTCGGTGATATTAGCCTTTGGCTTGGTATTTCTAACTGACTTTAAATAAACGAATTGAATTGATTCCCAACCATGACAAATTATTCAAATTACATTTTAAGTTCACAGCGCCGGTCTTGGAGAAATATTACGTCTTTTTGATTTCCACAACACTTTTTAACAATGAAGAAACAAACATGTTCATAAAAATACACACATTTTAATACAATACGATTTACATACCGTCTGAACTTGCGGTGCAAAAATAGGTAAGGTCTGTGGGAAAACATTCGAAAGCAAGATCGTATGCAAACGCTCGATACAAAGCAATTTACGCCATGGTGTTTTGCATCATGAATTGACCTGAACAACTTCCTTTGACCTAACAGGTCACGTCTTTCGATAACCAATCAAAATGATGTGTCGTACAGACGAAGTTTCTCGATTATTGACGAAGTAATTTTTTCAACGCAATGCGAAAGTGAATTACCGCGATGTTAAAATGTGAACTGATTTCGACAAAAACGGTGATTTTTTTTCCCTAAAGCAGTTGATTCACGATTTTCGAAAGGTAAACTGAGGGTGGAGGAAGTATTTAAACTTTTCATGGTCGCCATTCATGTCAAAGAATAGTTTGCTCGCTCACATCCCATTCACAAAAGTCTCAATGGACACGATTATTCGGAAAAGTAAAGCGATGTTCAATGACCAGGTTTCACGAATTGTCGATCACATTGGCGTTTCTAAAACCACTACTCAAAATAAATATGGATTACTTCAGTATTGCAACATCGGGGTTCATCCTGAGTAAATAACAGAATAGAAAATGTGCGAACCATGTTCCGTACGTTTGCCGGCCTGAAATTAATGCAAGTTTTCTCGTAAAAGCAGGAACAAAACTACCTTATCACTCCTGATTATTATGCAATGAAATACACTTTTTACATGCATATTTTAAGAAATGTCGTCGATGCCCGGTAAAAACACCATGGGCCTATACTCAGGGATGCCCTCAACTTGTTAAATGTCTAAAAACAGAGACGTGGGCTTATGCGGTAAGTTATTCGCTTGTGAACCGCAGCATGGCCGGATTGTGCTATCGTACCGTGATCTACTAAGGAATGCATTAGTGTTTGTTTTTATTTGAAACTACTGTTAGAATATACTTTCTGTTAAATAAATGCATATTAGTGATTGCAATATGTACGTAATAGAAACCGCACCCCGAACTTGAGCTTTTGACTTAAATTTTTGAATTGATACATTGTAATATAAACCGTAGTTTATATTAGGATTTTAACGGTACTTTCTTTAGTATAATATGTATTTTATTACTAACATTTTATTGCTATCAACCAATATAAACTATTTCTAAGGATGCAATAAATTTAATACTATATGTCCGATGTACGTACCAATTTCAAACATAGTTGAACTCTGGTGACCTTGCCCTTTGTTATATAATATAATTCCCTTTAACATATTTTGTTTCAATATAAATATGCATTGTCATAATTAATTTTGATTACAAACAAGTTTTGGGGTTGAACCAACAGTAGGGAATCAGTCTACCGAATGTCCTTTAAAGATGTAAATATCTTACAAAAACATTGGTGCTATATTTGTTTAATTATTTTAAGGGACATAATTTCCAGCTTTATTCAAAGTAATTCAGATATTTTAGTATAAAAACAAATGCCTCATCGCAAAAAAAAGTGCTGCATTTAGACGTGAATAGATTCATAAAACATGCAAGATAACAGAAAATCTTAGCTGGCTTTTATCCAAGTATTTTGTACAGGTGTCTGTCAAAAATTAATGATTCACTGAGACAAATATGAACTGCCTCATTGTGTGACTACTACTGTATTATATGAAAAGTAAAAAAAAATATAATTCCTTTTATCATAGTTTGTTTCAATATAAATATGCATTGTCATAATTAATTTTGATTACAAACAAGTTTTGGGGTTGAACCAACAGTAGGGAATCAGTCTACCGAATGTCCTTTAAAGATGTAAATATCTTACAAAAACATTGGTGCTATATTTGTTTAATTATTTTAAGGGACATAATTTCCAGCTTTATTCAAAGTAATTCAGATATTTTAGTATAAAAACAAATGTCTCATTGCAAAAAAAAAGTGCTGCATTTAGATGTGAATAGATTCATAAAACATGCAAGATAACAGAAAAATTTAGCTGGCTTTAGTCCAAGTATTTTGTACAGGTGTCTGTCAAAAATGAATGATTCACTGAGACAAATATGAACTGCCTCATTGTGTGACTACTGTATTATATGAAAAGTAAAAAAAACACCCTTTATGAATAGCTATCATGTTGCAAGCTCTGCTTTGTATGCAAATCAACTTAAATAGTTGGTGTCCAGTGGAGGGAGAAGTCAACAGTACTGTTGCCTCCTGAGAATCTACATCTTCAAACACTGCAATCTTTGAAGTGCGTTTTTAAACTAGTATTATAAAAACTCTATCATTCTGTTCTAATAGCTGAAACATATTCCTGTGAGTTT